AATGTAGCACCTACTGTATTTCAGGATCAAGAGATCCCTAGATGGATTTTACATATGCTGTGCAGCTCTTTTCTCTTTACAAAATGGTAAAAAAATATTGAAAAAAATAGTTTCCAGTTTTGTGCGAAACAGAGCTTACAACTCCTCATTTTTGATGGTTTTTAATGATTTTTCAATAGAAAATACACATTTTTACCAATTTTCATTGCCATGGTACAATGGTAAAGCAAAACAGACATGATATTCGGAATCAGCATTAAAAACTGCATGTAATCATATATTTTTCAGCGGAATTTTTTTTCTGTCCAAAACTGATCTGTGGTCCTCAACAGCTGTATTTAAGAGAAGTTTTTCTTCCTGGTCCCCAACAGGCTAGTATTGGACAGAAAAAAATTTCTGCTGGAAAATATATGATTACGTGCAGTTTTTAATGCTGATTCCGAATATCATGTCTGTTTTGCTTTACCATTGTACCATGGCAATGAAAATTGGTAAAAATGTGTATTTTCTATTGAAAAATCATCAAAAACCATCAAAAATGAGGAAATGTAAGCTCTGTTTCGCACAAAACTGGAAATTATTTCTTTAATATCCTTTTACCCTTTTGTAGAGAAAAAAGAGCTGCATAGCATATGTAAAATCCATCTTAAGATCTCTTGATCCTGAAATACAGTAGGTGCTACATTGTTCTATTGGAGCTGATCAAAAGAGTACCTTTTGAGGCATATTGCCTTTACAAAACTTGAGTTACTAAACATTTTATTATATCCATATAGCTCATTTTGTTCAGCTTTTAATTCTCTATCTCCTCATATATAGCATGAAAAATTTCTATGATCTGTTGAAACGCAAGTTCGCATATCTTGTATAGGATATTTTTTCTTGTTTTTTCCCAAAAAGGTACGATAGTACTAGAAGTTGATATTGGCCAACTTTTCAAAGGAAGAGTATTAGAACCTACAATATTGGGGTTGGTGGTTTCAGACATTGATGCTTTGAATGAGCAAAAAAAAATCAAAAAAAACAATTTTATCGAGTGTCTCGTACACTCGGTTTCCTGATGGACGCTCTCTTAAAAAGTCTTTTGTTACTTACATGTAGACAATACTTTCTCTCTGTCCAAATTGCTTATTTTTTGTATTTCGAACGAACTCCATTTTCAGTTACAATCTTCCCAAGAAAACGGCGCATGACTATATATAGTACACTTGTGTTTTTAAATTATTCTAAATGGCATTTTAGTGTAAAAAAGACGGTCCTATATTTTTCCTATACTGCTAGGACAGTTCTATATAAATTTCTTTTGCAGTCCTATGTTTTCAGGGAGTACTGCTACGAAGCCAGGCTGCCTCTACAATGTAAGTATTCTGTTTGCAAGTATCTTTATAATTCTGCCAACGAAAGTAATCAATAAACGTATTGAAACTTTCATTGTTAGGATCTTGTTCCTCATACAATCCTAGACTACCTCGGGCGTGACGGTGCACCGTTCGTCGATATGCTTTTGCTGCTGTTCTCACTCATGTTGTTGTTCTCCTTCATGGTGCTACCATATTTCGTACTTCCGCGTTCGCATCCTGATAGGTTGTTGGTATTTTATTCTCTTCTCTTGCTTAGTCTTTCATGTTGAATATGATGAGCGCTTAGTCTTCGGATGAGTTTCATGAATAAAAAGCAGGAGAGTCAAGAGAGAAAAAGCGAAACTTCAGAAGTGTGTGCCTTACCATACTTCACTACACTTCACTTATACTTCATTCATAATTCAAATGTTTTACTTCAAGTATTGAAGTTGTGCTTTTTTTCTCCTCGGGGAGATCACATCATTTTAATCATGTCCTATGTCAAATCATTAAACAATAATACAACAAAAAAGCAAATTTGGATTACCTTCTATAAATACCCCTCGATATTCAACTTTATTGAAAATAAAGTAAATAGGCATGAGGATCAAGATGAGTAACCTTTTCTTCTGAGTTGACATACTATTGATATGTTTCTCTTTGAAAGGTTGAGAAGAGAAAAGGGCAAATAAATTTATAGCGTACTTACTATACAGATAATGCACTCGTTATCATCGCACTTCCTTTCTACTATAAATAATATGCAAATAATGCTTGTAATGCTCATATATCTGCAATTACGGCAGTTTTTCCCCATTCTCATGGTCCTATCTCGAGAGAAGAAAAATCTGATTACTGTTTCGCAATAACTGAAGGATGAAAACAATGGGTAATTCAACGAAACAGTGCAGAATCACCAAAATATAGGGAAACACATGCTATGATTTTGAGAGTGTGGGTGGGTATGGGTGTAGATGTGGGAGGGGGGGGGGGGGGTGGTTTGGGTGCTGGATGTTGGTGGGTTGTGATGGTGTGGATATGAGTGGGTGTGGGCGTGTGCGTGGGTGTATGTATACTTTTCATCTACACCCACACCCACCTACACCCCAGCCCCACCCCTAATAAAAAACAGCTGATATTATTTTCTTGTCAATAATTTATGGATTCACATGATCATTAACTTTTTCTGTAAAGTCATTGATTGTTTCGTCTTTCTAATTGATAGCATTGGTTTGATTTTTAACAACCTAAATATTGCTCTTTGCGCTTCAAAATATTATTTCGCGCATGTCTTGATATTTATTACTTCATTTCTAAATTTTTTTGTGACCCAGGGCGAGAATGCGTGGGTATGCATGTGTGTGTGGATCTGTAATATTATTAGCACCACACAGAACCATACGCACTTACATCTACCACACCGAAGTCACTGATTGATACTTGAGTTATGTTTTCCCAATAAATTAAGCGACTGAACGAAATTTCTCTTAAAAGTCGAACCACATTCGCGAGAAATCAAAGCTTGAGAGTTGTCAGTGGGCGTCGGTGTGTATGATTGACGGTGGTGTTAATAATATTTAAACATTCACACTGGTTTTTGCGAAAAATTATTCATTCAGAAGATTTGAAAACTGTGCATATAGGAGTCTATGGGCTTTTTTATTTCAAACTGAATTCTAAAATCAAAAAAACCACACCAATTTCTTCCGAATCAAGCTTTTCTCGCTTGATACTAGGTAGTCTCACTAAAAACCCTTAGTCCCCCCTAGTCCTGCAAAGTCCCCCTTAGCCCCCCCCCCACAAAAAGCTTAGTCCCCGCTTAGTCCCCTGTGCAGGGGACTAAAGCCTATAGTACACAAAACCACAAGCACACCCTCACCCTCACTCGCGCGCCCACACCCACACCATGGGTGTGGGTGTGTGTGGGTCCCAGACCAACACCCACACCCTCAGTCACCCCCCCCTCACTCCTAGACTCACGTTTCAGTTTGAAATCAAGTATTATTTTTATTTGATAAATTCAGACTGAAATTAAATAGCCCATTGTATGGCATATAGGCAATCGTCCCATTGTGACATCATTCATGGAAGTGTACACAACGTATCGCGAAGAAGAAAGTGATTGAAATGTTTGCCTGTTTCGGTAACAAAATGTTTTGCTACACTTGGTTGCATTACATGCAATTAACTGGCAGTATTCGTATGTCTGTTATCTAATTTATAGTATGTAGTTTCATGGTAACACGCTTATTTTTTAAAAGAGCCATTTCTACCGGTTAATTACAGTCATGTACATGTCTAGGAAAGAGAAGCCGTTTCTACTGACAAATATCTTTCGCTTTCAAATAGGGTGTGGGTGTGGGTGTGTATTCTCTCCAACAGCAACCACACACCAAATCGATGCCCACACCTACACCCGTACCCATATCCACACCCGCACCCCACAGACCCACACCCACACCCACACCCACATCCACATCACACCCACCCATACCTACACCCCACATCCACACCCACACCCCGTTATCCGCCGTAATTGGTTGATACACGGCCGTGTACGACCAAGGAGGATTGACCTGGAGCCTTTGTAATGCAGACTTGGTATTTTTTGGTTTGATAGAGCATGTCAAGATACGGAGAATTACAAAGCTTTTTTTTGTAACTCGCATTTTTACAGCGGCGAACCGGAAGGAAAATTTCAGGACCTCGAATAACTTTCAAAAAGTTTGCGCTCTAGTTATAAAAGAACTTTTTCATATACTAGTAACATAGCTTAATTCAAGAAAAGGGCGTGGGTGTGAGTGTGATCTTAATTCAATCCCATACCAACACCTAGTCTAGCACTACTCTAGTTATGCCACTAACTATGGCAGATATTCATGAACAGTTTCTATAGAATTCTATTCATTTTTCATGAATTTCTATATTGGCCGCGAAGTTATTTTTATCTTCAGGTTTGATTTTGTGAATTTTAATTAACAACTCAATCACTGATCTAATAGCTTAATACATGATTAAAATTAGATTGATATGACATTTCACAGGATGTGTTACAGACAAAACGAAACGAACTAATAACATATCAATCCTTGTATTCAAATCAAAGGTGAAGATATATTTAAAGAAGCTTAAAAAAAATCTTTATCTATAATTTTAGATTAAAAGCAAATAGTCAAGTTTTGGTTCTATTATGTTCGTGTATTCTAGCATTTAAAATAGGATACGACTCTGACTTTATATTGACAACTTGAAAGAAACAGATATAACCTATTCCTTGGATCTGACAAAACATTTTGTATATATTATCAAACAACGAAAATGATCGTCTTTTCCATCGCCGTTTCAATATACTTTGCTTCTCTAATTGAAGCTAATATTGATTTATGTATATTCAATTCGAATCTTGATGCACTTCCTTCGCATTGGTCGTATTCTACACTAGACAAAGTAAAACTTTGTTTTCAAAGCATACCAGTGGATAATACGGTAGTGAATCAAACAATGCAACAACTATTCAATTCATTGGATTTTTATAGTTTTTTGAGTATAGTTCATCAAAGTGGTTCTCCCTATTTCATCAGTGTAGATCTTCGAAATGAATTATTAAATATACAAAATCAATTGAATATGAATATGTACAAAAACGACTATGATTTTCATATGTCCATTGTGGGTTCATATAAAAAATTGAATGATTTTCATACAGAATACACTGCACCAAATGGTTATGCCAATTTTGTATTAATATTACCATTTATCTTTGAATTTTTTCCATCAACTCAACAAATAAAAGTTCAAAGAGGAATTCAATTATATTCTTCTATCATTGGAAACAATTTAAATATGAATTATAACGATAGAATAGTTACAAAGATTGATAGTATGAATGCATTAGATTATATGAAACACTTTGCTGAACAATATTCACTTGTCAGTAAAGATAAAAGTGTGAAATTGAATTCTGTGTTCAGAGAAGAATTTTGGATACGAAATCTTGCGCGTTATCCATTTCCATCAAACAATAATATAACATTTACTTTTTTAAACAACAATGAATTAACACTAACTTTTCCTTATCTCGTAATCATAACAAAAAAATTCGATAATCAAAACAGTTTGGAAAATGACAATATGTTTTCCGCACCAATATTATTCGATCACACAAGGGTTTTGAAGTATGTAACAAATTTCGAAAACTTGAATTGGTATCAAGAAAAACAAAGTAATGCCTTCGGTTATATAATGGGTGGTAATGGTACTTATTATTATACTCATAAACGAACAAAAACTTCTGTGATCAAGCTTGGATCATTTGATGAGGAAATTTTTGAGAATATGAAAAATATTTTTTTGATGTCTTCTGGAGATACATTAATCATTGACTTGATTGGTAATCAAGGTGGTCGTAGTTGTATAGCTTATAGTTTACTCAATTATTTAGTTCCGGAATATTCTAATCTAAGTGTATTGTATGAGTCGTTCGATGGTAGAATAACAAAACCATTACAATCATTCTCGAAGGCATTTAGTTTATCTCGAAATGCAATATTAAATGTTCAAACTGGTCTACCATTTACAAATATGGATTGGATACAACCATATCTTAATTACACAAGAGGGAATTTGACTGATGAATATTCAATGAAATGGTCGATTAATTGTGATGGACAAGCATTTGGTTCCGGAAAATTTTGGCTAAGCAATAGCACTAATAGGAGATATTTTAAATCAATTTATGTTTTAACAGATGGTACTTGTGGTAGTGCTTGTGGTTTATTTTTATCTAAATTAGCATTGGGTTCGAATTTTAAAAAAGCTTATGGTATTGGTGGTGGATATGATGGAAATAATTTATTTGAAAGTTCAAGCTATGCTGGAGGTGGTACATTTAATTGGAATGATATTGTTGGATATTATACTTTAGTTGGTGCTAATGATTCGTCCATTAACTATTTACCGACAAGTGCTTTCTTGAGTGTGAATGTTTATGAGATTTATATTAGTAAACTAAATCCTGACTATCCAAGAGAATTTTTGTCACAGCCAATTGATAGACAAGTAACCAATGCCAATTATTGTAATCTACAATCAGCTTTAGAAGAGATAATCAATGATGATCAATCAACCAAATGGACATACTCTGATAATAAATAGTTCATTAAGGATCATCATTTTTTACCTATTGATAGTAGGATTGCTATTGAAAGCAACCCATTAAGTAATAAAAATTTAATATAACAATACGAGTCATCATATATGACAGATTGTATTCATTGTAGCTAGCGGTTTCGTTTCTGATCGATCCTATTTGTTTTGTTGAATGTTGAACTAAATATATTCGTAGTGAATTTTATGAGTAGATCCTTTTTTTAAAGAAAAAGTGATACATATATACTACATGAGGTACTCGTTTGTGATACATACAGTGTTCAAACGAACATTTTATGTCAGATTCGCATCCGGTTACGATAAAAGCCAGGTCTCGTTGAGGTTTCATTACTGTGTGTCCTTTGTTTTCTCAGCTTTTGCATATTTTTCTCGTCAAGTGTTGATAATAGAAGTAATTTTCTTGTAAGTTAAATATTTTTGACTGACATTGAAGTCTATTGTTATGAAGTGAAAATGGGTTATACCACACTTCTTATATTTGATCAACCTGGTTTCTTTTCAATTTATGCTTTGGAAAAAGTCACACAATGCTCATTGTCGTGCCGCTTTTTATACAAGAGCGAATAGTAAAGAAAAGTCAGTCTCTCTGAGTATTGGACTATAACTATTCCAGTTTCTCAAGTCAAATGTCAGAGATGATTTATCATTGAAATTATATCATTTGATTTCTTCCAAATATTATCAGAAACAATTTATCTACCCGAACATGATGTACACAATATATGACTCATAAAAATCACAGTGACAAAATTTTTGAAGAAAGAAGCAACAATAGTTATCATGTTTCAAAAGACTTTGGCCTCTATATGAGAGTTTTATTAAATATAGACGATGAGTCAGCTTAAATAAGACTGTTGGTATTTTAAAGATTTC